TCAGCTGCAGCTTTTAGCACAGCAAGCAGATAACAAACTATGAGATAGCTTAAAAATCCAGCTGCATGTATGTCCAGTGACACATCTGGCCTCCAGGTCCTTCCCAGCTCACGTCCTGCACGCTCTTGTGCCTTTCCAGCACGGGGCTTAAGCTCAGACTCCCCCAGGAAGGGAAGGACGTGCATCCTGCCTGTCCTGTGCATACAGTGTTCCTCTCCGTGGACTCTTTCCAAGGTGTTGGTCTCCAGAATGCTCCTGGCTGTGCTCTTCTTGGAAGCGATGGTGAGACATCTGTCAGTGTGAGCCCGCAGAGGGAAGCTGAGGTAGGTCACTTCGTAGTCACTTCAGCTAGCTTTTTCTCAAGTGGATCTGAATTATCTCAAGGAAAAAGATAGGGTTGGGTGTCCTGGATGTGATCCCAGTCCTATTTCTGCAACTGTGGCATCTCTCAGTTAGGAGAGGGTAGTGTGAGAGTGGGGTGAGGCAGCAAGTCCCCTGCAAGCTGGGTTGCCATCAGATCATGCAGACGGGTCAGGTTTTGTGCCATGTTCAGTTTAATGCTTTGCAAACACCAGTTCCAGACAAGAAGCAATAGCTCCAATGATGTTTAAACAGGCTTAAAATCTGGAGATGAGATCTGTAGGCCTTGTGCAAGGAGCAGCACGGTGGAGCACTCGGAAGTGGATTTAAGACATGAAGCTGCTTTGTTTTGGTCTGTGTTGAAACAAGATGTTCAGGAAGGTAGTGGAGTCACTGCCCTTGGAGGTGCTCAAGAACCGTGGAGGCCATGGTCAGTGGGTATGGTGGGATGGGCTGGGGTTGGGGATCTTAGAGGTCTTTTCCAACCTTAATGATTCTGTGATTCCATGATAGTGAGGTAAAGCAGTCACAGGGCTCCCGTGATTCAGAATTTGTCTGAGATTTCTCAGTGCCCCCATGCTGAAGGGTAACGCACGTGCTGGGATGGTTGGAGCCTACCTGAGAGTCTCCCTATGTGCCATGGCATGGTGTGGTGTGAGCTGCATTGGCAGAGGAGATGCAGTGGGCAAGCAACAAAGTGCAGGATGGATCCTCAAGTGCCCTGGGACACTGGCTTGCCAAACTTCTTTGTCAGTGGTGCTGTTGACAACTTCCTGCCAAGAAGCATCAGCAGAGCAGGCATGCAGCTGAGATTTCCCTTTTCCCTCTTCCTTTCCTTTCATTCTATTGGTCCTGTTAAACTCTCTTCACTGCACTCACCCTAATGGTGCCTCATTTGGTTTATGTCCTTCAAACTCTTCCCTTTAAACTCTTAGTCATCACTTAGCTAAACTACTATATACAAATATAGCTCTTTTGATCTTCCTACGTAAATCAATACCTCCTGCCCTTTAATCTTCCTAGTGGCTTTCTCTGAACTCCCTCCAATTTACTATCCATCTTTGAAAGTTAGTTGTCTTTTGGGCTTGATTCTCTACAATTCCAAACCTCCTGAAGTCCCAATAGCTGCCCACAGCAGGTGCTTACAGTGGCTTCACTCTGTTCATGCTGAAGAAATGCAAACACTTGCATACAAAGCATCTTGTGCCCCCTTAGGCTGATGTGGCTCCCCATGCCAGAACTAAGTGCTTATGCAGCACAAGCCCATGTTCCCAGTGTAGGTCTCACAGGATGCTAAAAGCCATGGTGCAAGCCATTGGGTGTCATTTGGGATTGAAGGAGAGTTGTAATGGTTGAGTTATCTCTGGAGGTCCCTTCCAACCCCTACAATTCTGTGATTATGGAGAGGAGTTTCTGCTCCACAGTAGTTGATGGCTGTGGAGATGGATCTCATCTTCTCCATAACAGTAGAGCCTGTAGGTGCAAGCAAGCAAACCCAAGATAAAGATTTGTCCCCTCTGAGTAGGTAATGTATGAATCCCTTCCTGCACAGGGCAGCTCACCTTGCCTGGCTGCAGGTGGGACCTCTTGATGGAGCTAGACCATGGGCTCAGCAGGAAACCAGACCTTCTTCTCCCTATCCTTGCCTTGACAGTTACCTCCAGCTTTCTCCTGGGACCATTCCACTTTTGAACTGGGAATGCTGGGAAGGTCATTTCATAGAATCACAGAATCACCAAGATTGGAAAAGAACTCCAAAATCATGCAGTCCAACCGTCCTCGTACCGCCAGTATTTCCCCACTAAACCGTGTCCCTTAGTACAGCAACCAAACATTTCTTGAACACCTCCAGGGATGGTGACTCAACCAACTCCCCTGGCAGCCCATTTAAAACCATTGCAGTAAATGTCTTTTTTTCCCCTTCATCTTTCAAAGAGAAATGTATTATAATAGCAATAACCCCTTCTTTTAGCAATAACCCCTTCTTTTAGCATTTCATTATGGGTCAAATAAAAGCAGATCAGAGCATGAGACAGAGAATCTCACCACTCTGCTTGCCCCCAAAGGATAAACATAGTAGTGCTGCTACGGGCCCTATAGCTTAATTAGTTGCTATTCTCTGCTGTTCTTAAAAAGGATGAAAAAAAACCTTTGCAAAGCCTAGGCAGGCTGTCTGTGTCATATTTCCTGTGTTCTTAGAGGTGTTAATGAATTCATTAATCACTTAATGGCAAGGAGGGTCTTTGGGGACCAGCACTGCAATTTACTGCTCCCAGGAGGCAGACTCTGTCACTGATCTAAAGTTTCAGCTCCGCTAATTTGTGCCAGCAGAGCCACTGAGCTTCTGCCTGCAGCCCGCAAGCATTGTGGCTACTGGGAGCATCACAGCAGCATGCAAAGCATCAGGGTATGCTCACTTGGGAAGCTTATGCAACGAGTAATGGAAAGGAGGAAAGGAGGTGTTCCCCCAGCCTTGCAGTTGTGTTGCCTTAATTCTTTTCGTTGGGATAAGCTTGCTGTTGAAGCCAGTCCTTGCAATTGACTGGGGAGTGCAGCAGGAGCCTTGCTGACTTACAGGAAATGCAAGCTATGGAAGCGTGGCTGTATAATCTGGTCTGGGACTGCAGGCTATGCAATGAAAGGAGTCTGTGAATCTCTTCTAATTGAAGAGTGTCAGGCTGATGTATTTTGACTGAAACTGTCAGTTAAAATGTGAATTTGAATGTTTGCATTTCTGCTCTGCAGAAAATGTTGATTATTTCAGTCTCTCGCCCTTGGTGCAGGAGAGTAGCTTGTGCCAAAGTTCCCTGCAAAATGGCTCCTTTGGCTTCTTTCTAATCACAGGGCAGTCCAAGGAGAGGAGGACATGAGCAGAGCCCTCCTCTCCGCTAATTCCATTCCACCAGCCTGTCATCACTTTGCAATTGCACCTTTTAAAAGATTTTTCTCCCTTGCTTTTCTGTGGCTGAGTTCCCTTTTCTAACTTCTGTCCATCTTTCTCCTCAGTCTGTTGCTTTCCCTGACTGGGAATCAGGGAGGGCAGAGTACATCAGATGTGAGCAGGAGGGAGGGCAGAGTCCATGGATCATGGCTGTCTGTATGCACGTACTTGACTTCCACTGCTGGTACCCCCTCTTGGAGTCATTCCCACACTCTTGTTCTTTGCTCAAAAGTTACTGCAGGGAGGAGAGAGCTGGAAGGCAGGACAGAAGCTGCATGTTGGATCGAGGGAGAGAAGGCAGGAATACAAAACCACTTCATCGTGGAAAACACAAAGGGAAACAATTTCAATAAATGCCAGATGGTCAAAATTAACCAGAGACGTGTAGAGCCCTACATGTCCAACTGTTTGCTTTGGCAGAGATTCTTCAGCTTTTCGAACAAGAGTCTCCCAGGCACCCTTTTCTTCTCCTTGGCTTTCCTCTTCCCCTTTGCTCATCCTTTGGACTCCGCTTCTCATCCCACCCTTCTTCTCCTCTGGGTCTTTTTCCTGCCTCTCCTCTCTCACTGCTGCCCATGAGTCACGTTGCACCTCAAGTGCCTGCTTGCGTTACGGTGAGGGGAGACCACCGCAAAGAAATGTCCTTGTGCAACATCAGACTTGGAGGGCATGCAAGGTGGTGGCTGCAGCTGTCAAGGCCCACTGCCAGCACAGCCCTGTAGAGATGCTGGAGCACTACAACCCTGTGCTTGTTGTTGCTGTGGGTATTAATTTCTTCCTCCCCTCCCCAAGGGCCTTGAGTCAGCTTTGATTTTTTTGTTTCAGCCAGGAATCCAGAAGGAGCTCTTGCAGTTCAGTAAGCAGAGGAGCATGCATGTGTGGCTTACCCTGATGGAGCAGTGGGATGCAGCCTTGTTGGGGCAGTGGGATGCAGCCTTGTTGGGGCAGTGGGACACAGCCTTGTTGGGGCAATGGGACACAGCCTTGTTGGGACGATGGGTTGTGGCCTTGCAGGGGCAGTGGGACATGGCCTTGTTGGGGTCATGGGCCATGGCTTTGCAAGGGCAGTGGGATGCAGTCTTGCTGGGCAGTGGGACATGGCCTTGTTGGTGCAGAAGGATACTGTCTTGTTGGGGCAGAGGGACACAACGTTCTTGAATCCAAGCCAAATGCATGACATGTTCCTCCAAACAATGCAATCAAGAGGGCCCTTGTATGGCACAGACGGAGAGCTCCAGCTAACGACGGGCTCTTTTGTGTGCGCGTGTGCTCTTTGCATTTGAAACATTTATTATTCTAAATTGCCTTCTGCACATTTTACAATAATTACGACTAGTGTTTGCCTTGTTATCTCCACAGTTACTAACAAGAATGCCATCATTATTCCAGTCATTAGCAAAATGGATGTTGTTGTCCAGAGTTGCCGGCTGTGGGCCCGCTTTCAGAAGGAGCCTCATGCTCTCCAACCTTGCCTACTCTATCTTTCTTCCAGGGGAATATTGTTGTTCTCAGTAGGTTTGAACCTGAGGGGGCGGAGGGGAAGCAGAGATTTCATGAAGAAGAATTGCTTTGAGAGAATGCTGGTGGGTGTCAAGATTCACAGCGGTGAGCACTGGGGAGCTCTTAATGGCAGCATCAGTAGGAACGAGAGTAAAGGCAGCCATTTCTCTGTGTTCCTTCTGTGTTTGGTGTATCTTAGGTCTGCTCGTGGTGCTAGGATCCAGTAACTCTTCCTGTAAGAATGTGTTGCTTGGATGTGAAGAGATGCTATCGATCTGACAATGGAGGTTGCAGATGAAGGAGAAAAGGTTGGAATTAAGCCGACAGCACTCAGCTGCTGTAAGGTGAGTCCAGCAATCTGCAATTCCACTGCCTGCTCAAGAGAGCTCCTGGCACCTCTCCCATTAGCAGTTGGAAGCCCCAGCAGATATTACGGACCCGGCGGGTTTCCTTTCATAAACTGAAAACAGGCAATCTGGGTGGGTTGTCTTTCAGTGAGGGTACTGCTGTGGGCTCCCTCCTAAAATCCAGCAACCCTAAAACGTTCAGAAATTCTTCTAGGTTTTGCTTATTTCAGAGGAGGGAAGAGGAAGGAGATTTGTAATCCGGAAGCCTTCCAGTTCTAATGAAAATGGAGAACTTCAGATTTCAAGTCTCATGTATCCTTTTCTTGAAATCTGCCAAAAATATTTACAGGTACTTGGTGACCAAAGGAAGCCTTTTGATTTGGAGTAATATGTTTCATACAAAGTCAGATTATTGTTTGGGTAAAAAAAAAAAAGTATTTAAAAATACTTGGGGGAACCAGAGCTGTTGCTTATGTAGCTCACTATGAGACTCCAGAGGAAAGATCTGATTTGCTTAGAGCGCAAAAGCAATGTGCACAAACACAGAGAAACAAATGGCAAGAAAGGTTGGTTGGTTTGTTTTCCCCCTCCTGCTGATCTCTGGGGCCCCTATGTAAGAACTGTGACATTCTTCCATGGTTCATCCTCATGAGGCTTGGTTCCTCACTGCCAGGATAATCATGGAATCGCACTGGTTGTCCTTAGCTTATATAGCAAGCAAGGGAAAAATGTGAGCATTTTCCCATCTTTTCTAAATACAAATTATTAATTCAAAGAGAGTGGTGTAACTGTTTCCTCATATTAGGTATTTTTAGGTGTGCTCTCACCTAAATGCTAGCTAGCAGGCCTTTTTCGGTTGCACTTGTGAAAGAAAAACAATTTTCAATAGAATTGTATTTGTCGAATGCTGATTAAACTAAATAGTAGAGTTTATGTAGAAAATAAGGTAGAAAATTACATGTGTGACTTACTGATTTAAACTTCTGTGTATCTTAGAAAAATATCACCAGATTAAATGGTGGCTGTGATTAAATATAATTCATAACACAGGTAAGAGGATGACGTTGCTTGTAATGAAAGAAGAACTTTTCACGTTCTACCAAACTTGGGTTACAAGAGAGCAAATAAGATACACGTACAATGCAAGATCCAAATCTGTGACAGAATAAGTTGTAAGTCTGTATATTCTATTACCCCAACGTGTGGTATTTGTAAGATAGTAAGAGCTTCAAATCTTGGGTAAAGTCAGAAGAAAAAAGTGGACTCTGCTTCTGCTCAGCCCCTAAGACAAAATTAGAGCAATTTGGGTTGTTGGATAGCCCAGGTTCAGAAATGTGCCTAATTTTTGGCCCAAATCATAGCACTCTTCTGGTTTGGGACATGTATAGCAATCAGATTCCTCAGTAATTATGGTTCCCATCAAGAGAACCTGTTCTACTCCATTCCTCCTCTCTGCCTTGCAATGTGTGTTACCTGTAGCAGGTTACCAAGCCTGGTAGCATGGTTTCATCAGCATGCTGCTGATATGCAGCCCTACCAGCTATCAGCTGATATGACCCTGACCTCACAGATACTGTGACCTTGTGCCTAGACATCAGGCGTCTTTTGGTGGCTGAAACTCAGATTAAGATGGTGACAATGCTGGGAGCTGGGGAAACTGCTTTACATTTGCAGCCATGAATGAGGACAAACTGGATTAGGGGTAATGGCATAGGAGAGAGGATTGGTTGGAATGATGGCAGTGAACTGGATGTTTGCTGCCTTTAGCCTTTCCAGTTCTGTGCATTTACTTTGCATGTCTTGATCTCCCATCGTGATACAGGGTTTGCAGTGAGTCTGAGTGCTGGTGGAGAGCAGGCATGGAGCTGTACTGAAGATTTACTGTGGAATAATAAGGGAGGGCTTTGGGCCTTTTTATCATCTTATTATGGTCAGCCATTACTGAGGGAAGTGGGCAGAGCTTCAGTGTTCTCCATTGGAATTGCTTGGCAACAGCTGGAGCTTCAGTAGGCTTGGAGCTTCTGCAAATTGTGCTGCGATGCTCAAGTGATTCATTTTGGTCTTCAGAAAGTGCTCACTCATCTTTGAGGCAATAAACCCAACTCCAGAATCTGATAAATCTATTTGCAAACCCTTAAATCTGATAATCTACCTTGGCTGATAATCCCAAGTGCCTGAAAGGAGACAAGACTACCATCTGTCGGCAGCGTTTGTCCATCTGTAGGGTGACCAGTGCTACAGAGCACTACCCTGTTGTCCTGCAGAGCTTCACTCTGGTATGTGTGTGTGGCCTGGGAACATGTGAGCATTTCCTTTGAGAGGCATTGGACTTAGTGACTTCAGCATCCTGTACCAACCCAATGCCTTTCTTCTCCCATGATAGCACTGGTATGGCATCGCAAGGAGCAGAGACCCAGCTCTTTCCATCCACCTCTGTAAGAGCTGTTCCTAAGAAATTTCTCTTAATTAAACAAGATAAAGAGGGCAAGAGAGGCAGAGGGATTGAAAGTAGGACTGAGGAGCTGTTTATGTGGAGTCTCTCCATGGGGGATATTCTTCAGTTTGTCTCAGCATTCCGAGAGTCCTTTAAGTGAGAGGCTGCGGTTTACGGAGTCAACAGATTTAAGCAGGCTACGAATATTAATTATTAATTGCTCTTGGAGAGTGCTATACATTAGATTGGTGAAGTAGTTAACAGCTATGCCTTCTGCTCCCCACAGGCGCGCTCTTGCTGTCAGATTTCTCTCCCCAGCTAAGACCCTGGCGCTAGAATTAGGCCAGAAACTATTTTCCAGTCGAGTGGCTTTTAATGGGCTCTCCAGGATTCTTCTTTGCATCCTGTGAGTGACGAGATATGTGGAGAGGAGAGATGGTGGGATTGATTCGTACCGTAAGAAGTATGAGAGATTTAACTAAGTGGGGATCGGTGCTGCTAGAGCAGCAGGAAGCCCTGTGACAGTTGCATTTTTGCACTCCAGAAGCATCTGTTAATTATCCACAGCACTGGGCAGTGCTCTGGAGGAGCCCACCTGCAGGAGTCCACAGAGAAATGGTATTTCTGCTGAAAGGCAAGACTGGGGTCTTTTGAGTTCTTCTCCATCAGGGACCCTGGGCAGTCTGATCTGGTTTTTGGTGGCCCTGCCCATGGAAGGTGGGTTGAAACTAGGTGGCCCTTAAGGTTCCTTCCAACCCAAGCCATTGTGAGATTCTGTGACCTTGGATGGTGTACTGTGGGTGTACTCTGGGAGCCCTGGTGGGCTCATATGGCTGGGAATTCCTTGACCTCCTCAGCTCTGGCAGAGTGAATGAAGCGTAATGAGCACGATGGTTTGGTGATGGTTGTGTGCCTCATAAAATCCTTAGATTTGGAAGGGACCTCTGGAGGCCATCTAGTCCATCTAGTTTCATCTCCCTGCTGATATTGAGGAGGTGTCGTGGTGTGTCCCTTACTGCTTTTAAAGCCAGTTCTCCCTTCCTTCCTGCATCTCTTTTCCAGCCAGACACTGCAGAGTGGTGGCTTGCATGAAGCCAGAGGCTGAGCTCTGTGGGCTGGAGCCTCACAGGGAGTCCTCCAAGTGAAGGACTGCAAGGGAGATCCACTCACACTAAACTAACTCCCGAGATGAGTCCTGGTGTGGCAGTTTGGGCATGAAGCACCATCCTCATTCTGGAAATCACTCCAGCAGCAATAATAAGGGTAGCGAGAGTGGTTTGGGAGCTCCTTCTGCAAGGAGGAGTACTGTGATCTGTTAGCAGCTGACTTGTTTCTGAACACCTAGCGCATTTTATTCGTGCACTGTATTAAATAGCCTGTAGAATTTAATTCCTCTGGGGAGAAAAAAAAAAACAGAAAACAAAAAACAAAACAACCTCCCCACCCCCAAAGCGCTGTGATTTTGTAATTGGACTGTGACAAAGCTGAATTTTGCCTGATTTGGGGGGGGGGTGTTGTTTTTAATTTCTGCGTCACAACAGGGACATGCCACGATCCTATGTCTAGGCAGACAGTTTGGCATGGAAAGTCACAGCTGGATGCTTCCAGCTCCCCCAAGCAGGGGCTTTTTGAGAGAAAATGCTGACAGATCCGTAGCAATAGCAGGCAGGACTCTTCATAATTTATTTTTAATGCCACGCTGTCTTTAACTGTGCAATTTCCTCCGGGGTGTTTGCTTTGAGATTGCGAGATAATTACATCTCAGAAACCAGGCTAATTACAGTTAACAGCCTGAAAAGCGAAGGCCCCCATTTCCCGCCCCCCTGCCCAAGTTTTTCCACCAGCTTTCCCCTTGCTTGCCCGCCCAGATTGAGGCAGCATGGCCGAGGAAGTGGCTTTGGCAGCCCACTGGGATGCTCGCTTCCCGTCCTCGCCCCAGCGAGGTGATGGCCCCATTGATTTGTGTTGGGTGGAGATGTGGCTGCCCCAGCTGGACCGTGACAGAGGGCTCGATGGTGGGAAGGTCAGCGCTGGTGCGGAGGGAGGAGAAGCTGGCGCTGGTGGGGATGGCCAGGAGGGGTTGGCGGTGTGGTTAGGGGGTCAGTGATCCCAGCTGATAAAGGAGAAGGATGTTTCCTTCTGCCAGGTGGGAAAAAGTCCTGAATTTTCCATGCCTCACCCTACAGCATCCAGTTCCATCACCGTGCATGCATTCAGTTAGCTGGGCTGCATGTCTTCTTCCCCCATCCTTCATACCTGCCTCAGACCCGTTATCACCTGCAATTACTTGTGGGTACACAAGAAAAGAACCACACACCTGATAAGTCTGTGGGCTTGGAGCCATGCTTGTAGCAGAAGCCCGGGGCAGTAGGTGGTGGTGCTGGGTGCATGTGGTGGTCCTGGGATGGAGCTTCTGCTCACCATGCTCAGGATGAACTCACCGTGCTACAGCCAGCAGCTCCCATACACCAGCTGCAATGCTCAGCTCTTTTGGAAATAACTCTGAAAAGCTTGAAAGGCTCAGCCTTGCTCTATCACAATGTGATTGCCAGGCTGCTTGGAG